TCCACACATAGTGTTGTGTGTTCTTCCCAAACAACTCAATCTTGGTTTCATCTGTCCACAGTATATTTTGCCAGTAGTGCTGTGGAACATCCAGGTGCTCTTTTGCAAACTTCAATCGTGCTGCAATAACCCCTTCCTGCCCAGTGTCATTAGTACAGTGTCAGCGATTTTTATTAGCACTTATCAATGTATCAATGTCACTGGGGATGTCATTGGAAGTTAGTCAGTTTCCACCCAGTGTCAGAATGCCTGCCATAGTCCCACTATAAGTCGCTGATTGCCGTCATTACTAGTATTAAAAAAAAATTCCAGTATATATACCACCATTTGTAGACACTATAACTTTCACGTAAAACAATTAATATACACTTAGTGAGGGATTTGTTTAGCAAAGACGTTTATAGCGCAAAAAAAATAAAAATGCAGATCTAATAGCACCAAAAGAAAGCTCTATCTGGGGAAAATATGACGTAAATTTCATGCATGTACAGCGTTGCATAACCGTGCAATTTTCAGTTAAAGAAACGCAGCGTCGTATCTCAAAAAATGGCCTGGTCAGGAAGGGGGGTAAATCCGCTGGAGGGCATGTGGTTAAAAATGGTGCTCTGCTACAAGGAAAATATACAAATAAATGCCCAAAATAATATGCATTTAAATACATAAAAGTTCTACAGTGAATACATTCAGTAAAAGGAATCAATGAATGTCTAAAATGACATAATTATAAATACAATAAAACACCTCAAATAAGTCCACTCTATAAGAGCTGATACACGTATGTGCAGTGCAGATTAAAGCTCAGGTTTCACAGCTAATTGATACAGTAGTTGTTCACAGGTTCACGTCAATTTTACATCAGGTTCAGAACAGGATTAGCTCAGGATCACCGGACATACAGTTGTGTCCAAAATTATTCAACCCCCAATGCTGTAAAGGGGTTTAGGGACTATAGTGTACATTTGGAATTGTATTCAGAATCAAATCCTACAAGGACGTTGTAACTACCCAAATGCAACTAAAATGACATCAATTGTTTATGTAATACAGTAGTAAATGGTTCTTATGTGGTTTCTTCATTGCCACAATTATTCAACCCCTTAAAGACTACCACTCTGAAGAACAGAGGTTCATACAGGTGCTTTCCATCAGGTATTGAAAACACCTGTGGATGTCACCGAGCAGCAATCAAGCATAATAAGCACCAATTAGGCAGCTTTAAAATGACTGTGATACTCAGCTCCTTCTAGACATTTACTGGTGTGGTTACAAACATGGTGAAGGCAAGAGAATGGTCCAGGAAGACAAGAGAAGAGGTGATTTCTCTTCACAGGAAGGGCAATGGCTATAAGAAGATTGCAAAGATGTTAAACATACCAAGAGACACCTTAGGAAGCATCATTCGCAAATTCAAGGCAAAGGGCACTGTTGAAACGCTACCTGGTCGTGGCAGAAAGAAGATGCTGACTTCGACTGCTGTGCGCTACCTGAAGCGTAGAGTGGAGAGAAGTCCCCGTGTGACTGCTGAGGAACTGAGAAAAGATTTGTCAGATGTGGGTACAGAAGTTTCAGCCCAGACAATAAGACGCACACTGCGTAATGAAGGCCTCCGTGCCAGAACTCCCAGGCGTACCCCCTTGCTGTCTCCAAAGAATAAGAAGAGTCGACTGCAGTATGCCAAAAGCCATGTGGACAAACCACAAAAGTTGTGGGATAGTGTTCTGTGGACTGATGAAACAAAATTAGAACTGTTTGGGCCCATGGATCAACGCTATGTTTGGAGGAGGAAGAACAAGGCCTATGATGAAAAGAACACCTTGCCTACTGTGAAGCATGGTGGAGGGTCAATCATGCTTTGGGGCTGTTTTGCTTCTGCAGGTACAGGGAAGCTTCAGCGTGTGCAAGGTACCATGAATTCTCTTCAGTACCAGGAGATATTGGATGGAAACGTGATGCAGTCCGTCACACACCTGAGGCTTGGGAGACGTTGGACCTTTCAACAGGACAATGATCCCAAGCATACCTCCAAGTCCACTAGAGCATGGTTGCAGAGGAAAGGCTGGAACATTTTGGAGTGGCCATCGCAGTCACCAGACTTAAATCCGATTGAGAACCTCTGGTGGGACTTAAAGAAAGCAGTTGCAGTGCGCAAGCCTAAGAATGTGACTGAACTGGAGGCCTTTGCCCATGAAGAATGGGCGAAGATACCCGTAGATCGCTGCAAGACACTTGTGTCAAGCTATGCTTCACGTTTAAAAGCTGTTATAACTGTAAAAGGATGCTGTACTAAGTACTAAGATTGAATGTCACTTGGGGGTTGAATAAAACTGATAATGCTGTGAGCACAGAAAAGACATTTGTGGTTATTTCATTATAACTGTTATGTTATATTTGTCTGACCTACAAGTGCCTCTTTAATGTAAATGTAAGCAAGATGACTGAATGATCAAAAAGCAATGTCAAACTGGCCAAAACACTCAATTTCAGTGGGGGTTGAATAATTTTGGACACAACTGTATGTGACCAGGCACCATAGGAAGCAATGTTTTTTCTTTACAATTAATTTTATTATATACAGCACAACAACAGAGAACAGTCAGAGACAATCTCATTACCACACAAAAAGGAAGGTGTGCAATTCTGTTGATGAAGGACATAACAAATGCACTGAAATATTAACACGAAGAGAAGCGGAGTACAAAAAACACCAAGGGATGGAATGAAACCCTATAAATTGCATTAGCAGCAAATAGTAACCAATGAGCTGGTGCGCAAAGACCCAGGATAGTCACCAAAGTCTCATACAGATTATAGGAAAAGCTGAGCATGAAGTCTCACTGGATGCACATCGGAACGCTACAACCAACCAGGGGCTTCCAAGAAAGTGCCCGGCCGGTGTATAAGACATTATAGGCACAATTCTCTAGGGGTATCGACTCAATGATCCGTGCATATAACATAAAAACTGACAGACAAAAAAAAAAAAAAGAAAGGGAAAGAAAAGAGAAAAGCAGAGGAAGAAGAAACAAGATTAGGAAAGACAAATAAAGAGTTCCAGGTAGTGCACCAGGAGAATCTTATATCGACAGGAGGGTCTGATCAAATCTAGATGGTTGAGCCACCTCAATCCAAGGATGCCAGATCTGCAGAAACTTAGTGTGGGTGTCTAACAGCATAGCCATTAACTTCACATTAACCATTATAAAATTCATCCAAATTCCAGCTTCAAAGCTAAGAGGGGTTTTCCAAGCTCTCACAATCGTGCCCATTTTGGTAGCCATAAATAGATGCAATAACTGCCACTCAGGATGGAGTAGGCCTACTGTCAGGGATCCGGGGTGTGACCAGAAATGTGTGGACTGACACAGGGAAGTAGCAGGCTTCAGGAACACAGGCGGTAGTCAGGGCTGGAGAGGTGGAATGGTCAGGCGGGCCGTAAGGTACTGTCAGGCAATGCCCGGCGGGATCTCTAGTGACCCACAGAACAGGATTCCCCAGGGCGCGGAGTCTAAGCCCCAGTCTGCCTTTTCACCAGAGCCCCTGATGGTGGGGATGGACTTGGCGCAGGACTGAGACCAGGTCGTGGCCCCTGAGTGCACCCAACTGTTGTAGAGGGGACCGCCGAGGGTATGTACCGGGGGAAAGCCTGATGTGAAGGGGCTGGGCAGGTTTAGATAGTAGTGACTGGATCCGTGCGGGATGGATGGATCGTTTTCTGGGTAGCGTCTGGTAGCGTCAGCCTCAGGCAGGCCAGGTCAGCAACGTGCGGGCAGTGAGGTACCGGAGGAGCAGGCAGAGAATAGTCAGGGTCACAAGCCGGGTTTCAGTAACTCACGGGCAGCGCGGTACAGAGGATCAGGCAGAAGGATGGTCAGGCAAGCCAGGGGTTTAACAGGAGACGGTCAGCAGAGGTCAGGATCAAAGCAGGGTCAGGCAACTAGGCAGATAAGCAGGAACACAGGATACCAGGTACAGGGGCTCATGGGAAACATACACCAAGGCCCTGACTGCAGGTTCTGGCCATTCCTTAAATACACCTTCTGCAATCAACTCCAGGTGTTGGCTGATTGCAGGAGTGAGCTTCTGGCTGCTAAGAGCACCCGCTGGTCAGCCCTGATACTGCAGCCCACACGGCAGGTGAGTCCCACACCAGTGCTGAGTCCATTCCTGACAGTTACCCCCCCCTCAAGGAGCGGCCTCAGAATGCTCCAAACAGTCCTTAGTGGGCAATATGTTCACGCTGGGTCAGGTAACTGGCTGGATATCTTACTGCCAGAGTCAACCGGCTGGCTGGGTTTCCTGCTGGCAGACTTTTTATGTAGGGGAACCCAGGTTGCTCCAGGAGCAGGCTGGGGAATCAGTTATTGGCCAGTTTAGCTGGACATCAGGGGCTGGCACATCAGGCTGCGCAGCGGACAGAGGCACATCGGGCTGGGCAGCAGGCAAGGCAGCGGGCACCAGGCCATCAGGCGGAGCAGCGGGCGCCGGGCCATCAGGCGGAGCAGCGGGCACCAAGTCATCTGGCAGAACAGCGGGCACCGAGTCACCAAGCCCGACAGCGGGCACCGAGTCATCTGGCACAACAGCGGGCACCGAGTCATCTGGCAGAACCGCGGGCACTGGGTCACCAAGCTCGACAGCAGCGGGCACTGAGTCATCTGGCAGGACAGCGTGGCAACGAGTCATCTGGCAGAACCGCGGGTACTGGGTCACCAAGCTCGACAGCAGGCACCGAGTCATCTGGCACGACAGCGGGCACAGAGTCATCTGGCACGACAGCGTCCACCGAGCCATCTAGCAGAAACGTGGGCACTGGGTCACCAAGCTCGACACCGTGCACCGAGTCACCAAACTCGACACCGGGGCACAGAGTCACCAAGCTCGACACCGAGGAACCGAGTCATCTGGCAGAACCGAGGGCACTGGGTCACCAAGCTCGACAGCGGGCACCGAGTCATCTGGCACGACAGCGGGCACCGAGTCATCTGGCAGAAACTGCAGGCACTGGGTCACCAAGCTCGAAAGCGGGCACCGAGTCATCTGGCACGACAGCGGGCACCGAGTCATCTGGCACGACAGCGGGCACTGAGTCATCTGGCACGACAGCGGGCACCAAGTCATCTGGCAGAAACGGCACTGGGTCACCAAGCTCGACAGCGGGCACCAAGTCATCTAGGCACGGACAGCGGGCACCGAGTCATCTGGCACGACAGCGGGCACCGAGTATTGGCAGAACTGCGGGCACTGGGTCACCAACTCGACAGCGGGCACCGAGTCACAAGCTCGACAGCGGGCACCGAGTCACCAAGCTCGACAGCGGGCACCGAGTCATCTGGCATGACAGCAGGCACCGAGTCATCTGGCACGACAGCGGGTACCCGAGTCATCTGGCACGTCAGCGGGCACCGAAAAGTCACCAAGCTCGACAGCGGGCACCGAGTCATCTGGCACGACAGCGGGCACCGAGTCATCTGGCACGACAGCGGGTACCGAGTCATCTGGCACGACAGCGGGCACCGAGTCACCAAGCTCGACAGCGGGCACCAAGTCATCTGGCAGAACAGCGGGCACCGAGTCATCTGGCAGAACAGCGGGCACCGAGTCATCTGGCAGAAAAGCGGCACTGAGACACCAGGCCGGACCACAGGCACCGAGGCACCAGGCCCGGACCACGGGCACCGAGGCAAACACGGCCGGACCGAGTCACCAGCTAGATCGGGTCATCAGGCTGGATCATGAACACCGGGTCATCAGGCTGGATCGGGTCATCAGGCTGGTTCGGGTCATCAGGCTGGATCATGACATCATGATCCGGACATCAGGCCAGATGGACCATCAGGCTGGATCACGAACAACGGGTCATTCAGGCCGGATTCACGAACACCAGCCAGGTCATCAGGCTGAACAACGGAAGGCGGGTCCTCAGACAGCAGGCTGGACCGGTTTGGATTACTGGTAGGATGGGTAACTGGTTGGAAAGAATTTTCGCTTCTTCTTGGGGGTTTAGCTACTGGAGCACTGTAATTAAATGCAAACTCGGTCTGTAAACGGATTGGAGCAGCTGAAGACAGGGAAAAGCCGGAGGATGGAACAAAGGAGGGGGAGCAGTTGCTACAGAGGGCTTCTTTAAGGGTTAAAAAGGCAGGATAGGTGCAGCAAGTGGGAGCAGGAGACTGACATGTGGTAGCTAGCAGGGTATACTGGGGGTGCTGTCGGGAGTGCAGGAAGAGAGCTTTGAGCAGAGGAATGATGTGAGAAGCAGGGGACTGGTTTGTTGCAAGCTGACTGAGGATGGGTGTAACAAGTTGCCCAGGACTGTAGTATGGGTTGAACATAACTCCGCTTACACATAGCCTGTCTGACCAAAGACTGCACTGCGTCTATTACACTCCACTAGCACATGTGATGGACAAGCTGCATATGCTCATGGAAGCAATCTGTATCATCCTCCAACAACCATACCAGCGATTCCACTTGATCTGCACTAAATGGGGGAAAAAAGTCATTCCTGCTTTCAGGGGTACTAGCTGAAGCCAATCCACACAAGCCTGAATTAATGGTTGCACCTCAGAGAACTCTGTGCCTGATCTACCAGGGAATGTGCGACCCCTATGCATTCTAGCAGCTGATCCCTGGTATACTCCTGCAGAGTCTCATAGGCATATTCTTTGTCATCAAAGACTAGCAGACACAAGTATATAACCTCCTCTGGATGCATCCTTCACAACAATAAGCCAAGATGGCTTCCCTGTGCAGCCACGTCTGGTCAGGAATGGCCTTGGTGTAATGTCAGGGATCCGGGTGTGACCAGAAATGTGTGGACTGACACAGGGAAGTAGCAGGCTTCAGGAACACAGGCGTAGTCAGGGCTGGAGAGGTGGAATGGTCAGGCGGGCCCGTAAGGTACCATCAGGCACCGCCCGGCGGGATCTCTAGTGACCCACAGAACAGGATTCCCCAGGGCGCGGAGTCTAAGCCCCAGTCTGCCTTTTCACCAGAGCCCCTGATGGTGGGAATAGACTTGGCGCAGGACTGAGACCAGGTCGCGGCCCCTGAGTGCACCCAACTGTTGTAGAGGGGTCCGCCGAGGGTATGTACCGGGGGAAAGCCTGATGTGAAGGGGCTGGCAGGTTTGGATAGTAGTGACTGGATCCGTGCAGGATGGATGGATCGTCTGGGTAGCGTCAGGCAGGCCAGGTCAGCAACGTGTGGGGAGTGAGGTACCGGAGGAGCAGGCAGAGAATAGTCAGGGTCACAAACCGGGTTCAGTAACTCGCGGGCAGCGCGGTACAGAGGATCAGGCAGAAGGATGGTCAGGTAAGGCAGGGGGGTTCAACAGGAGACGGTCAGCAGAGGTCAGGATCAAAGCAGGGTCAGCAACTAGGCAGATAAGCAGGAACACAGGATAACAGGTACAGGGGCTCATGGGAAACATACACCAAGGCCCTTACTGCAGGTCTGGCCATTCCTTAAATACACCTGCAATCAGCCCCAGGTGTTGGCTGATTGCAGGAGTGAGCTTCTGGCTGCTGAGAGCACCTGCTGGTCAGCCCTGGTACTGCAGCCCACACGGCAGGTGAGTCCCACCACCAGTGCTGAGTCCATTCCTAACACCTACTATTGGTTTAAAATAATAGTGCCTCATATGGGTTACACTTAATATCTGTTTGTAGCATAGTACGGAGAAGGGCATATACCCTAATCCATAGTCTGCATACCTTGTGGCAAGTCCATCAAATATGGTCCATGGTACCTATTTGTTGACAACCCCGAAAGCAAGTCAGAGAATATGAGGGAATAAAATGAGCCAGTTGGGCAGGCCTTTAATACCATCTATAGAGGACCTTATAGGCATTTTCTAGTATAATAATAATTCCTCGAGCATTTAGATAATGTTTGAGTCATGATCCGCCAGTCTTGCTGATCTAGACAACCCCTGAGTTCTGATTGCCACTGATGATAGGAGCGAACCAGGGGAGTCCTTTAAGAAGGGAGATCAAGCCTGGTGCCTGTGCCTGCAAATACTTTCGAAGGGAGCCTATAGGGACCCGAGTGGGCTCGTAATAATGTAGTAAAGCGATGGAGTTGGAGGTAACTAAAATGTTCCCTCAACGGGATATCATGTGAAGAACGCAAAGTCGCAAAAGTGAGTTAGGAGAGAGTATGGAGTGTACATCATTGAAGCCATGGGCTGGCCACCACGCAAACTGGCCAGGATTGTCAAGGCTTGGGGAAACAATGGGTTGTGGAATAGGTGCATCAAGGGTAAGTGAGCAGAAATAAGACCGGCAGAATATTTAATGGAGTCCCAAAGACAAAGCGTATGTGTTAATGTCGGACTAAGAGGTGAAGGGCGACAAATGGGAGCCACAGCAAAGAAAAAAGTACCATTGGGTGAGAGTCCATCAGATCCATCAGCTCACAAGAAGCGCGGCCTGTGTCCAGGGAGCGTGCCTCGTTGCCGGATGATGAGGCACGCCAGCTCCGGCACGCCCCAGTTGCCAAGACGACCAGAGAGCATCCTGCATCAGCTTAAGAAGCTGATGCCGAGCACTCCGGTCATCTTTTCCGCTGCGCAGTCACCGAGGGAGCCCAGCTGCGGCGGGACCCTCGTGGCTAGACTCTGCCCAGACCCCAGCTAAGAAGGGGGACTGCACCCAAGCCTGCCAGTTGCCTGAGACTCCCAGTCCAGGGGATTGCCTGCCAGTTGCCTGAGACCCCAGTCGAGGGGGATTGCCTGCCAGTTGCCTGAGACCCCCAGTCCAGGGGATTGCCTGCCAGCTGCCTGAGACCCCAGTCCAGGGGGATTGCCTGTCAGTTGCCTGAGACTCCAGTCCAGGGGGAATTGCTTGCCAGTTGCCTGAGACCCCAGTCTGGGGGGAGTTGCATGCCAGGTGCCTGAGACCCCAGTCCAGGGGGAATTGCCTGCCAGTTGCCCGAGACCCCAGTCCAACAGGAGAGACCACCCGCCTATTCCGGACCCCAACAGGTACCTGTGTCTTTACTTTCTATCCCTGGGAGACCAGGCACCCTGTCGGATCTGGGGGCATATGCTTTTCCCTGTTTTACTTGAACTGTTCCCGTGTTGACCCCCCTACTCCCCTGTTGGATTACAATCTGCTACAGAGACTTTTTCTTTGCCCCCATACTAGACTACAAGTGTTTTAGCCCCTCCTGGCTGTTCCCCTACCGGCGAGTTTCACCCTCCCTGCGAACCCCCTATTGAGTGACTGTCATCTTTTTGTCTCAATAAAGCTTTGTGCGTTTGCCATCTACTCTGCGTGTTCTGTCCTGCCTACCCTCCGTCACAATAGTGTATATGCCCTACAAGGACCAGCAACATACTAGTACATCACTGGACTTTTGAGTAGTTATAACTGGGATGATGCTACATCATCCTGGTATAATTTTTTTTTTCAGCTGGCAGTCGTAAAAGCAATCGTAGTGGGTAATTAGCTGCTGGATCATTTTTACAAGCAGCAGGAAGGGATGTCCCCCTGCCGCCTTCCACAGTATTCTTGGGCTCCTCTGTCCCACAGGGGAATCCAAGAATGCAGCCAGCAGTTCTGCCGGCTGACCATAGAGCTGATCGGAGACCAGAATGGCTCCAATCATCTTTAAGGTCTAAGAAACCAAAAGCTACGAGCATTTCATCATGTCCGCTTCACGGATATTAACCGCCATTTTTAAATTGGGAAAGCATCTGATCTTGGTGTGATCAGATGCTTTAAGGGCAGAGGTGAGATCTACAGCCTAATAGACCCATATATTTCATAGAAAAGAGTATCTGTCATTGCTTATTGCTATCACGGGATATTTACATTCCCTGTGATAACACTAGCACTAGGCTTCCTTTGTAAATATAAAGTGGTGACCTGTAAAAGCTTTTAAAGCGTCACCTATCGATATTAAAAATTTACGTAGTTTATCGCCATTGCATGGGCGTGCGTAATTTTAAAGCATGTCATGTTTGGTAACTATTTACTTGGCATAACATCTTTTATATTTTATCAAACAATTGGGCAATATATTATGTTTTTATGTTGTGTACCAAAAAAAAAAAATCATTCTCCAAAACTTTTTTGGCAAAAAAATAAAATCTTCCATGGACTGAACATACCTCTCAGCAAATTCCTTGGGGTGTCTACTTTACAAAAGGGGGGGTTTCGTACCACCCTGGCATTTTAGCACCTCAAGAAATATGATAGGCAGTCAGGAAGTAAAAGCTGCGTAAATTCCAGTGTATATATACACCATAGTTTGTAGACACTATGAATTTCACACAAAACCAATTAATGTACGCACATTGGGATTTTTTGTTTTACCAAACCATGTTGCAGAATACATTTTGGCCTAAATTTATGACTAACTTTGAGTTTATTGGATTTTTTTTTTATAACCAAAATTAGAAAATATATATTTTTTTAAAAAGTCGGTCTTCTTTTTTCACTTATATCACAAAAATAAATAACCTAGTGGTGATAAAATACCACCAAAAGAAGGCTCTATTTGTTTGGGTACAGCGGTGCATGACTGCGCAATTACCAGTGCTGACTAGCAAAAAATGCGCAGTGCTGACTAGCTATAATTGGCCTGGCCAGGAAGGGGGTTAAATCTTTTGCAGCAAAATAGATAATACACAGATGGCATACAGAAAATAAATGTTTAAAACATTAATCAGGAAATTAAATATACACCCTTAGCAAAGAATGATCAAGACAATATCAGAAAAATGCAGTTCGGTTTAAATGAGTCTATCAGCCTGGAATGCATGTGAAATGACAGCACTTAGAGTTGG